GCTACCCCTGGTGCCGATCTAGGGCCGAAGCGAGAGGATGAGGAAGGAGGGGAGTGGCCGGTGAGGGAGGCCATCGGCAGCATGATGTGGGTGTCGACTTTCTCGCGTCCAGACGTCTCGTTCGCCGTGCGTGCGGTAGCGCGCCACGCCCACGCCCCGGCGAAGCGGCACTGGGATGCCATACAGAAGATCCTCGGCTACCTGAAAGGGACGAGGGACCTCGGCATCACCTACCAACGGGGATCGGGGTTAGGGCTGGCCGTGTACGTAGACGCTAGCTACGCCGACACGGAGGATAGGCGTTCGGTGTCAGGGTTGGCGACGACGGTCGGAGGTACCATAGTCAGCCATGGTAGCAAGACGCAGAGCATCGTGTCTTTGCCTTCGACGGAAGCCGAGTACATTGCTGCCGGGGAGGGCGTCAAGGAGGCGTTGTTTATGCGTGTTGTGTTTTCGTTTGTTGCCCCAGAGACCAGTGGTAGCAGCATCCAGGTCTTTGAGGACAACCAGGGGGCCATAGCGTTGGTGCAGAACCCTCACAGCTCAGGTNTGATAAATTTGCCGGAGTAGCTGTAGCAGTTTCTAGCACTTGGGAGAGGCCATGTTTTCCATGCGGGGAAAGGCGCATAACTGTTGCGGTCTGTGTACCAATGGCAGGAGTAGGGGGCGTTGGGAGACCATCGTCCGGGGGAACGTAGTTCCTCGCGTTCTTGTCTTCGCCTTGGCCTTTCTTTTAAGTGCGGCCGTTGCGATCCGCTGTGATAGCGACGGTTTTTTATGGTGGTCGGGTTTTCTTGACGGGTTTTGCCCGGACGCCGGGTTTCCCCTCCATATATTACCATGTTGGTATTTTCTGATGTATCCCGGGGCGTTCTTGCCCAATTGATGGTTAGTCACTTGCGTGAAGAACCAGGGAGGGTGTTCGTGGGCCTGCGAACATTGTTGTTGGATACATGTGCTGGATGATATAGTGTCACGCAGACTGGTAAGGTAACCGTTTGATAGGGGGCACCGCGATGATTCACAGGGCCCCTCCTTGCTGTGGGAGCCGCTCTTTGAGCACTCCCTCTTTCGTCCGTGTGAAGGACGGTCGTCGACCTCTCGTGAAGTCAATACATCACCAAAACAGTCTCACCCGATGAATAAGTGGCGTAGGCCGCAAACAGAATCAATCGAAAGGGCCGGGGTAGCCGAAGCCACTGTAGGGAGTGCACCAGAGACAATCGAAATCACCCGTGTAGTCGAAACTACGGGAACACCAAGTATATGATGCGGCGGAATCTGCAAGCGGTGATGTCACTGAAGCAGATGCACGGCGGTCACGAAGCCGTTGGGCGCGAGCCGCTGCTTGTACACGATCGCTACGCGAAGAAAAAGGGGGGATTGCCTGCACTGCTGCATAGTCAAATCGCAATGTGCTGCGAGAAGCCGATTGACTAGATAAGGGCGGTACTACAGGGCCAGTATGATGGTCGAAACCGATGTCTGTCCCAGGAGCAGAGTGCTCAACGGTGGATGGAGCGAGAGGAGAATTCGAGTCTACATATGGTTCACGCGGGAATTCGGAAAGCTCACCACCAGCAGCCGGCGAGACGGACTGCTGTTGTACACCCAAAGGTACAGAGGCGGGAACCGAAGTTCCAGGTGTGGGTGCTGGCGGTTTGAGGACAGCACCCACGGGGTTAGCGTCGGCCGAAGCCGGCGAGGCGAACCTCTCCCGTGTGCGTTGAGCGCGAAGCTCTGACAAACGAATGGCTTCAGCGACAGGGTCAGCGGCATGAGCACTGTCCGAGGACAGCAGCAGCTGTGTGGTCTGACAACCAGCTGCTGGGGATCCGAAGGTTGCTACGCGGGGCGATGACACTGGCGAACGCGAACGCTCTGAATGCTCAGGACTCGCCGAAGCGCAGTCCGAGGAGCCGACGCTAGGTCGAGACATACCGATAAGCGAGGCAAAGCTAAGCTGCGGTTGGGACGAGAGCGCAAAAACTGCAAACCGCAGCCTAAAGCGCCAAACCGTGCCAAGACACAACCAACCCAGACAACACCCTACGAATAAGCCGACAACGCCAAGTGAAGTGGTATGCACGCGTGATGAAGTTTGGTTGACCTATGAAGAAGAACTCACTTGTCATAACTCTTGCAGAACAGCAGCAGCAGTAGCGGTTGTCTTGGGTATCAGTAGGAATGACACCAAGGGGCGCAGAATCCTCAGTACAAGCAGGGGCCACTAGATCCTGTCCCCTGTTTTATCCTTCCGCGGGGAGGTACTAGAATACATCTCTCCGCGCCTTCTAGAAGGAACCATTCTCTTCTATGTTCCTGTTCGTGTGTCTGGATACGAGCATGGTAGATCTGCTAGCAGCACGGGGGGGTACGTAGACAGGATCATGCGTATGCCTGAAAAAGGCTACCATGTGTGGGCCCCCTTCCCCGAATTCGGGAGGGCCACTTCTTCCCTTCCTTTCCTCGCTCCCGCGGGTGCCTATTCAGAGAGAGTTAAAGCGTGTCTTCTCCTCCCAAGTACGGACATACCAACAGTTCCGTCTACACATCTGAATCCTATTTTACACAATAGCTGGTTCTTGTACTTCTGTACTTCTCGGTCCCCTCCCCAATATGAGCCCTGCGGGCTCACTACAGCTCCCTGTGATTTTCCAACAATTCCCACAAGCACGCAGGCATGCCACAACACACACCTGCCTTTGCATCAGTGGCTCTCTAGGTTCGGGCGAGGGTTGTAAATCAGCGTTCGTTCCTGCCAGGAAGCTCCGATATTCCGTGGTCACAAAAAACGGTCTTCCTCTCCCTCCTCTGCGGTAGAAGACCGCGGAAAGAAACACGCACGCCACCCATCCATGCGTGACTTCTCGGCCGGCCTTTCCATTCCACATCGCATGCACCACAAAGATAAAAAAAAAACGAATTGCGCAGCCTCTACCTAGACATGCTGCACGCAGGCGGCACACCTTGTCGTGAATCCGATGAACGTCGTCACACTAACGCCGAAATGCCCACGAGACACGACTTTATTGAGCCGTATAGAGTTAGGAGGCAGCGACGAAATAAGCCTACCAGGCAAACGTTACTCGAAATACCACCATCACTGCCAGTGGAAGCGCACCAGTAAATACCCCCCAGGGCCTGCAAACGAACGACGTATTGTTTAGGACGTGACAAACGCGATTTACCCTATTTCTCGTTCTCCGAACACACAAATAAATACTGGTATAAGGTACATATAAAAGGCGGAGCCGATCGGTGGTTTGCCATCTTCAGCACGCCGAAGAACGTGTGTGTGTAAAATATCCTCCTCTTTTCATGCACGGTAGAGCAAGCATATTGCGAAATTTTTCACCACCGCCTCCCACCCCACTCTTTGTTGCCTTCGCACTGAACAGTCATGATCGTTTTCCCACCTCGTACCCGACACAGCAGTAACCAACATTTCCCACCACTTGATTCCTCGCCGGCAAACGAGTACAACTTCTTAGCTCCGCGAGTGGTGCCTTCGGCAACGAAAGGTCTGTTGCATGCATACATAGTATAGGTCTTCCAAAAATCCGCGCCGGGGTGGCCGCAAAGCAACACCCCTCTTCCGTCTCTTTTCTTTTTTATATGCATACGTCTGTTTTTTTTTGGCGGTAACCATAATGGTGGTCGAGTAGATCATGTTGTGCGGGGTCGAGAACCCTCACTCCGCACAAGGGGGATGATCGCACCACGTTGTGTTAAAATGGTCAAGCACCCTCGAGGCAGTTACACGGTGCTTACAACTGTCTCTGGAAGTGAAAGCACCAGAAAAGAAAAGAAATTAAGTCGTACGTACGCAGCTGTCATCCGTACGCAAGGAAGTAAGCACAAGATGCCGAA